GTACCAGGAATTGAACTTAGGCCCTTGCGCTTGCTAGGGAAGTGTTTATTCTCCTGAGCCATCTCCCCGGCCCCACACCCAGCATCTTGACCCATTTCAAAGATGAAGGAAGGGGCTTGGGGAGATAACTGTAGAACAGGCCCTGCCTGGCAAGCACAGGGGCCTGAGTTCAATTCCCGGTGCCACACACAAGAACAAAAAGATGATAAATTGAGCTTTTAATAAAAATAAAAAGATGAAGGAAGAGCCATGGGAAAGGTCATGCATACCTGTGTCCCCCAACTCTGAGTGGCTGAGGCAGGAAGACTGGAAGTTCCAGCTTAGCTGGGAGAACTTTGGGAGTTAGTGAGACCCTTCTCAACCTCCCCCAAACAACGCTGGGTGTGGTGGCACGCGTTTTAATCGTGCTGCCCAGAAGCCTGAGGCAGGAGGATCCTGGCCAAGGGGGGTGAAGGGGCTGGAGTGTCTGCCTATTATGGCACACGTTTCTCTATAGTTTTGTTTTTTTTTTTTTATCATTTTAATTCTCTATTTAAATAGGTTAACCTTTAGATATGCTAGAGAGTCGCACATTTGCCCCTCAGCAGAATGAACTCTAGCTACACCACTGATGGCTGTGAGTTCAAGGCCAGCCTGGACTACACAGTAGGAAAAAAATCCTGAAGATGTAGCTCAGTGTGAAGGCCCTGGGTTCATTCCTCACTATCCTAGGAAAAAAAAAAGAAAAGAAAAAGAAAAAGAAAAAAAGGCAAGAGGAGGGTCACTTGCTGAGAGGGGCTGTTAATTCACTCTCCAGTCAGGCCTCACTTGAGACCATTCCAGTACACATGCTCGCAGTAAACCGCGGGGCAAATGACCCAGGAGAGGGTCAACGCATGACCGTGCCAGAATGTGCAGCAGCGTCCGCACACCTGCGCTGACCATCCTGGCAGGTGTGGGCCCAGGGGATCCATTTAGAGTCCTTGAGACTGTAGACCCGTCCCCAAACCTGTATTAACCCTTCTCCAAACGAGCTGCTGACATCACTGGGTCTCAGCTTGCCGGGACCTAACAGAATTCAATCCCACCTTCACCCCTCAGAAGCCCCCTGAGTTTGCTCATGCACCTCCTCTGACAGTGCTCTGGTGCCAAGCAGGCCCTCTCCATTCTCAGGTGCCCATGTCATTCTCTGGAGGCAGGTGCCAGAGCTTTGAGGTGCCTGGCAGGACAGGTGAATTGGTTAGGGCAGCCTTGTCCTCTAAGAGCTCATTTTGGGCTGGCCAAATATAGCTCAGCTGACTAAAGTGCCTGCTGAGGCAGACGTCTTGCAGCAGCCGGGGTTTGATGCCCACCGTGCTGTGCCAGCCCAATCCGGGGGCACACTGAGAGGGCGACTGAGACTGGTCATGGTGGTGTGTACCTGTAATCCCAGTGCTGGAAGGCTGAAAACAGGAGGATCACTACAAGTAGGATCTGTGTAGTGAGACCCTGTACTAAACACAAAACTAGAGCTCGTTTTGCTTTGGGGCCCCCCAAAGCCACCCCAAGGCCCTAAAGTCCCTCCCTGCCAGCTGGCTCAGAGAAGGTGGTGGGAATTCCCCTCACATGGTGATAGTGATCATGGGAGGATGACTCAGGCAGGCGAGGCCAGGCCACCTGACCACAGGGCCTCAGAGAGGGCCCTGCCAGGGGGTTCTCCACCGCTGGGCCGGGGCAGCGGAAGGGCTGTTCTGAGGGGGCGGGTCAGAGCACAAGACCTTGGGGTGAGGGTCTCCAGGCCTCTCTCTGACTTCTCCATCCCTCAGACAAACCCACTGGGGCTCCCAGTGGTGAGGACACACGGGTCCTTGGAGGCAGCCACGGGGAGCCCAGCATCATCCTGAGAGCCGGGGCTTTCCTGGGCCTTACTCACTCAGTGGGGCCTCCAGCTGGGGCTGGAGAGCCAGGCTGGGGGCTCAGGCTGCTCAAGTGTGCCTGGCAGGACCTCTGACCTACATGTCCCCTCCCTGGGCCCTGGCCGAGTGAGGCTGGGTGTCTTGCTGGCTCAGTTGGAGCCTTCAGGGACCGGCAGGGCTGCTGGGACTCCCAGCGCTCTGCTCCGCCTGCAGGCCCCGTTTTCCCCAGCAGCTGAGCTTTCTCTGTTCCCACAAACCCCACTGCTGCACTCGCGGGACCCGACTCAGTGTCACCCACAGCCTTCCACGCACCCCCACCTCTGGCCTTGCAAAAGGGCACTTTTGTCCCAAGCAGTGTTTTGGGCTCCTGGCTGGAGGGCTGCTGTCTGCGGCCCTCAGGCTCAGAAGCCCTGTCCGGGCCCCTCGAGGCGTCCCAGGCCCCGGCGACCCGTCGGGAAGGGGTGCCGCGCGGCCGCCGCCCGCAGCCGCAGAGCCCGGAGAGCCAGGAGTCCGGAGTCCGCCTCGGTGCCCCCTGCGGCGGGCAGCGGCGGGCAGCGGCCGGCCTAAGGCAGCACTGCTGAGTCACGGCCAGGCCCGAGGCTGCAAGGGTCCCTGCGCCCAGCTGCAGGGCTGGGCCGGCTCTCGGTGGCTCGCTTCCTGGGGGCAGCACGGGCGGGGCTGGCACCCGGGGGACCCCGGGAACTGCGGTGAGGAGGGGGCGGCGGGCCACGGCGGGGTCCCGGCGGGTGGCGCGCGGCGGCCGGGCCCGAGGGGCGGGACCAGGAGGGAGACCACGCCCCGAGGGTGGGCGGGGCCTCGCGTTTCTATAAAAGCCGGGCGCGCGGCGCCGTCCTGGACCCGCCGTGCTCCGCTCTCTCGCAGTCGCTATGCCGTCGCTCACCGTGAAGGCCTATCTTCTGGGGAAGGAGGAAGCGGCGCGCGAGATCCGCCGCTTCAGCTTCACCTTATGCTTCACGCCCGGGTCGCAGACGGGGGACGAGTTGCCGGCGGCGGTTCCCGGGCCCTGCGAGCGGCTGCTGTGCCGGGTGGCCACCCTGTTCCCCGCGCTACGACCCGGCGGCTTCCAGGCGCACTACCGCGGTGAGGGCGGCGCGGCGGGCGGGGCGCGGGCTCCTGTTCGCCGGTGCGCCTTGCCTGGCGGAGCCGCCGGCCATCCTCTGCGGGCCCGCCGGCACTCGGTGACACGGACGCGACGGGGAGGCGCGGGCTTGGCCGGGCGCCAGAGGGCCGGCGGCGCGCCGCGGGCTCCGCAGTCCGGCGGCTCGCAGCTGCTGGCGTTGCGGCGGGCGCGCGGCCTCAGGGGCGGGGCCGGGTTTGTTTTGGTGGAAGGCGGCGGGTGGCCAGAGCCCGCCCCGGAGGCCGCGCAGGCTGGGGCCGCCTCCCTGGCCGCGCTCCCGTGGACCTGGCCGCGTTTTAAAAGCGTTTTTCAGAGTAACTTTATTGAGCTATAACGTGCCTACGGTTCAGCCGTTTGTCTTTTTCTATCCAGTTACTTGCGTCTGGCTTGCTCTTTGTTTTTTGATGGGGGTGGTCTAGGGCCGGCGAAATAGCACATTAGACTAATCGCCTGCTTAGGCAAGCGCAGGTATTGGGGATCATCCCCAGGACTACATGCGAGGAGAGCTGGCCATCGAATCTGGGCATAGTGGCGCATGGCTATAATCCCAGCGCTAGGGAGTCTGAAAACAGGAGGATCCCTAGGAACCTGTGCGACCTGCATAGTGAGACCCTCTACCAAATACATTTTTTTTTTTTTTTTTGTAACCGGGGATTGAACTCAGGCCCCTGCGCTTGCCAGGAAAGCGCTTATTCCACTGAGCCATCTCCCCGGCCCCCCAAATACATTTTTGAAAAGTATAATTGATACAGGAACTCTACACAACTTAGACTCACAGTGATCCTCCTGTATTCAGCCTCCCCAGTGTTGGGATTACAGGCGTGCGGCCCCCCCTCCCCCCCCACAGCAGCTCACCCATTTACATTGCAGAAGTGCATGCTTTCCTGGTACCTGCAATCCCAGCTTTCTGGGAGGCTGAGGCTGCTTCATAAGTTTAAGCTCAGCCTGGCAATTTGGTGACTGAGCTCCAGTGTTAACAAGATAAAGTGAAAAAATTAGGTTAGTGTGAAGACCTCGGGTTAAGTCCCCTGTATTGGGGAGAAATAGTATGATTCTGTTAAAACCATCGTATGATACTTAGGAAATTTTTTTCAGGCTTGCTTCCATCATATTTCAGAAACTTTTCAGTACTTTATGAATTACTTTTTATTGCCCTCAAACCTATTTTCCTTTCTTTTCTTTTTCTTTCCTTTCTTTCTGTCTTTCTTTCAGAACTGGGGATTGAATGCAGGCCAGGCAAGAGTTTATTCTACTAAGCTATCTCCCCGGCCCCTTCAAACCCATTTTTCTCTAATTTTTAAAGTTATTTATTTGGCACAGGGTCTCCCGGGCCAGCAAGCAATACCGGGGATCAAACCCAGGTCCTTGGCCGCTTGCCAGTCCTGTGCTTAGCCTGCAGAGCTATCTCCCCAGCTCCCAATCCCAAGCTTTTTTTTGGGGGGGGGCAGGGATTGAACTCAGGCCCTTGCACTTGCCAGGGAAGCGCTTATTTACTGAGCCATCCCTCCTCCCCCCAACTCCAATCTTGTAAGGTTTCCTGCACTTAGCAAAGTGTGCTGGAGGTTTGTGTTTAGGCAGATATATCAGTACTTTATTTGTGTCTGGATAAATCCCATTTTTATCTGATTCTAATTTGTGAACATTTGGGTTTCAAGTTAGGTTTCATTGGTACATTTTAGATACACATAATCACTTTCATATTAGAGAATGTGTACCTGTTCATGATATGAATTGGTTTTTTTCCCATTCTCCTTTTCTTTCAACCTTTCCTCTCCCCATTTACAAAGCTTTGTTTCCTTGTTTTTCCTTTTCGTTCCTTCCCTCTTCCCCCCCTCCATTTGAACATTCTCTTCCTATCTCACAATACCTATTTGCTTTGTTCCTTACTTACAGTTTGGTGGTATTTTCATGTTTGTTTGATTTTTATTTGACTTAAAACTATGGTCTCAAGGTGTACCCATTTACCTAGAAATGTCTCAAGCTTGTTCTTTGACAGTAGTACTCCATTGTATAAAATGAGTTTTGTTTTTTTTTTTCTTTCGGAACCGGGGATTGAACTCAGGCTCTTGCACTTGCCAGGCAAGCACTTATTCTACTGAGCCATCTCCCTGACCCCCCACCATTGTATAAAATGAAACCCTCACAGCTTTATGCATTTACAAGTTGGTAGGCAGTTGGGTTGTTTCCAGGATTTGACTAGTATAAACTGCCACTAAGAATACTATGGATGTGCATATATACTTTTAATTCTTTTCGCAGAGATACTTGGAAGTGCACTAGCTGGGTCAAATGAAGCCTCTAATCCTAGTTAGCTTTTATTTTAAAGCTTTTTTTGTACTGGGAATTGAACTCTGGTCTTTGCACTTGCCAGGCAGGTGCTTATGCCATTGAGCTATATCCCTGGCTTACAGCCAGTTTTTCTAGCACCATTTATATTTAAGAGGCTGCCTTCCAGTAAATGTTTCTTGCACCTTTGTCTAAGATTAGGAGACATGGGCCTGCCCAAATAGCTCAGTGTGCATGCAGGGGCAGGGGCAGGGGCAGGGGCAGGGTTTCTATCCCAGGACCTGCTGTTGCTGTGCCTTCCCTGCCCCTGGGTCACTCTGAGACAGCAACTGAGACAGCATGGTGGCAGGCGCCTGTAATCCCAGCTCTTGGGAGGCTGTAAACAGGTTGGTCACTAGTAGTCCTAGTCCGTTCTAGTAGTGAGACCCTGAATACCCTGTAGACCCTTCCCTAAAATACAAAAACAAACAAAAAAAAAATTAGGGGCAGGTAGGGTGGGGTGGTGGTGGAAAAAAACTAGGTAACTATGTCTATATTTGTTTCTGCATTTTATAATCTGTTCCATTGATCTTTTTTTTTTTTTTTTTTTTTTTTTTTTAAACCGGAATAGTTGTTTATTTTCTTGGAATTTTTTTTTTAAGTGTAATTAAACCTTTATTTTGTGATTGTTTTTTGGTCTGCTGTGAAATTCTTTCCCCTCTTTTTGTCAGTTACATTCATGAAGATACGTTTAGATACTGAATTTGTTTAGAAGT